AAAGAACACGTTTTAAAAAGCCAAAATTTCATTACTGCCAAAATTTCACAGTATCAGTGTAAAGAGATTAGCCGCTATGATTTTTTAAAATGTGTAGCATATAAATTTAGTGTACATTTAATTAAATAAATATGATGCAACTTCAAAAATTATGTAGTTTTAATTATTACTAACCGCTAACGGGAATTCGAGTTAAGGATTAAGAATAAATTTGAACCCTGCCGGGAACTCGTGTGCAGTATTAAGAGACAAAAGTTGAAACGCAGGTAAAATGTTTTATGCTGACGGGAACTCGAGCCGCCCGGATTTGAAATATAATATAAATATTTAGAAATTCGTATTTATCAAATCACTTGAGCCATATACGAATAAATTGTATTTTTTTGACTTACTTTTATTTTTTAATGCTCTATTTTTTATATCATCAAGCTATTTTTTCAAATGGGTGTTCTCTGTTTTCAAATTTTCTATTTCTCTGTTTAAATTTACTTTTAAAGTAAGAAATAATTCGTATTTTATTTCGTCATTTTGTTTTTTACTTTGTTTATTATTAGCTATTAAGGAATTCAAATATATCCGCATTTGTAATAGTTTCTTAGTTTATATAAACCATTTGGTTTTTTTGAATTAATATAATACTTAATTTTTCCAGTTGTATTTTACTGAAAGATAATATTTTTGTAAAAAGAGATTTCTGGATTTACCTTTGTCAATATCGTTGTTATTTTAATTTGTTAATATCTTTGTTTATTTCAGAATTTTATTTTACTTTTTAACCACTTAAACTACATAATTTTACGGCTCTACATTTCAACATTTCTGTAAAATATGTTAAATTAACTTAACGTTCATCTTTTTATTTTTCTCCTTCAATAAATTTTCTCCTCTTATCGATTTTCCCTAACAATCTCCTATACTTAACACGTACATTCCAAATTTGTCATTATTTTTATGACTGACAATTTTCAAAAATAATGTTTTCATTATCCTGGCTTTTCTTGCAATCCAGTTTTCTTTATAATTTATACTAAACTTGATCGCTTCATGGATTATTTTATCGTATCATTATATTTAATTTATTCATTTGGAAGAAAATTACTGGTTTTTAAATATTTTCAATTCTTTTCGGAGTAATATTTTCTTTTTTATTTAACAGTGATAATATTTTTATGCAATGTATATCTAAATCCCCTAAATTCATGTAATAAATTAATTATGAAGTACCTACTTATGTAAATACCTTTTTTTCTCGTCACTGGTCACAAATCATCAAAATCTCTGCAGCTATGAGGAAGACGAAGGTAAACGTCGTCAACAACGTCGTCAACAACGTCGTTGTCGAATGAATAAATGAACAAGGCATTAGAATATTACATTTCTATTGCTGAAATTTTGCAGACATAAGTATAACGAAAGTGCTATGACTAAAAATAAATTATTTGTAAAATATACATCTACTGACTAATATTCAGTCAGTTCAGAGTGATTTGACATTCGATATAAACATTCTGACCTTATTTTCTTTAAATTTTCATGAATAATTAACAACGCGTATGCGTTAAATAGAAGCTTGCCTTAATTCAAGATTCATACATCCTATGAGTGAAGTAGTACATAACTATAAATATGACGCCAGATTTAAATTGTAAAAGAAATAATATCATGTCCCAACCCAACCAATGAAAAAATATTAACGAGAGCAATCTCAGTTAATACCGGAACAGATTGACCACCATCTTTGCACAGGCTCACCAACATCGCCAGTTCAGATTTGAAGATTTATTTTGTTTCATATAATAAAATAATATTATGTGTATGAAATAATTCTTCTATATAATCAAAGTATTTACTTTTTATGCCATTACCTATTGCTTAATATAAACTTGTTTTAATTTCACTTCAATTATTAAATAATGCTAGTAAACATTTATTTTGTGACTTGGACTTGCATACCATCGTTTTAGTACCTATTAATTAGAAAATAATCTTTGAATTTTATTCAGTACTTATATCCAAAATATTTTTGTATGTAAATGAGAGAGATGCAGCAGACGACAGGCTCTCTTATATTCTCAAATAAAAAGTATTAGTAATTTGCAAAGATCCTTTCTTTTAAGTAAAAAGAATCAATCTCTCGAAGAGGTCGACCTAACCATTCTGGGAAGCAGTCTCGTTAGAAGGACGGAAGTTGACCACTTTGGAGTAAGATTTAATCAAATACTCAATTCGTCAGAGGACGTCCAACTCGTTCTTAACTGTTTTCCCATCTGGAATCGCCGTGCGGTTAATTTCAGAAACTAACCTAACTTTCAAAAACCTATTTATCTATACAATAGCTAAGGACAGTATACTTATATTGTAGTTGCTCTTGTTATTCATACTATTTTGTATAGAAATAGAGCAATATTTTTATAGTTCTCACGTTTTTTTCATTTAGAATATTTACTTATGATCAACATATAAGTAGGTAAGCGACTTTATATGAGATGATTCATTGGGAAACAGTTATAGGTTAATAATACGCCATTGAATGAATATTAGGTCGTTTAAATCAGAGATATAATAATTTTTTTCATGGAAATTCGGAAAACAAACTGAACCCAGATGCAGTGTTTCTATTGCTTCAAAAATATCCTAAAAAGTTTATTTTAAAATTAATATATTTAACAAAATAGAAAAACATAGTTACAACAAATTTGTTAGTTACTGTGGCTGGATATTATTAAAGGCAGAGCTTACTTATTACTTGTATACAATGTGTTCTTTGATTAAATTATCAACTTAAGTTTGTAGTAGTAAATATTTGTCTTATCCGTGGTCACAATCTAATTTTAAACAGTTTTAAATACTAATATCAAAAAATATTTTACATTGCAATAAGTAAATACAGAACTTTTCCTCCAGAAGTTGAAGCTGAAGTTGAACAATCGTTCAATAACTGTACAAAATAAAACTATTTAAGTATACTCGAAAAAAAAAATCGACGAAATAATGGAATTTAAAATTTTGGCAGAAACGCAAAATATTTGGTGATACCGCAGGGAAATTTAAAATTTTAGTGTATGCGTTTTTTATTTTAAATTATGGTGGAGGAACCTTGTATTTTTAAACTAATAAATAGTTTTATGACTAAAACAGTCGTCTTAAAGAAAACAATTAAATAGGATAATAATACTGAAACCTATCAAATTACACACGATCAAAAATTATGTTTTTTAAATGAAACGTACCGGAGAAATTCAACAAAATGTTTATGTATAAGAATTAGTATACTGATTTGCCGTGTCAAATTTTTCATTTAAAATTTTGGTGGAGGAACCTTGTATTTTTAAACTAATAAATAGTTTTATAACTAAAACAGTCGTCTTAAAGAAAACAATGAAATATGATAATAATACTAAAACCTATCAAATTACACACGATCAAAAATTATGTTTTTTAAATGGACCGTAACGGAGAAATTTAACAAAAAGTTTATGTATAATAATTTTATTTTAAATTATGGAAGAACCTTGTATTTTTAAACTAATAAATAGTTTTATGACCAAAATAGTCGTCTTAAAGAAAACAATGAAATTGGATAATATTACTGAAACCTATCAAATTACACACGATCAAAAATTATGTTTTGCAAATGGACCGTAACGGAGAAATTCAACAAAATGTTTATGTATAAGAATAAGTATACTGATTTACCGTGTCCAATTTTTTATTTGAAATTTTGGTGGAGGAACCTTGTATTTTTAAACTAATAAATAGTTTTATAACTAAAACAGTCGTCTTAAAAAAAACAATGAAATAGGATAATAATACTGAAACCTTTCAAATTACACACGATCAAAAATTATGTTTTTTAAATGGACCGTAACGGAGAAATTCAACAAAAAGTTAATGTATAAGAATTTTATTTTAAATTATGGTGGAGGAACCTTGTATTTTTAAACTAATAAATAGTTTTATGACTAAAACAGTCATCTTAAAGAAAACATTGAAATAGAGTAATAAGGCAGAAACCTACAAAATTACACAAGATCAAAAATTATTTTTCTAAAAAGGACCGTAACGGAGAAATTCAACAAAAAGTTTATGTATAAGAATTAGTATACCTATTTGCCGTGTAATCTGTTTTTTATTTTAAATCAGTCATCTTAAAGAAAATAATAAAATAGAGTGATAAGACTGAAACCTATCAAATTACACACTATCGAGAATTATTTTTCTAAAATGGACCGTAACGGAGAAATTATCTACAACAGAATCTTAGGATCTGGTGAAGACTTAAGTCTCTGATGAAACCACAAATAAAACAAGAACAAATTAGAACAATATTAATCAATACTTTTAATAAGATACATCAATGATATTAGCCGTGAAAAAGATCTCAAACTGTATCCTCGCTGACTTACAATAATAAATTAAGCCTTAGAAAGCTGACTATAGGCCTTTTACTCTTAAATGAAACAAAAAATATGAAATTATCCTAATAGAATCTAAGTATGATCACAACAAAATGGCGTCGTCTAATAAAACCCCTTCCTTCTGAAAAGCCGTGATTTGAGATCAAAGGTACTACTTGACAGTCTCACTACTGATTGTTTTCTATACCGTGGTTAGAGATTTAAATAAAAAATATCCCTTGTTATCAAAAAATGTTAATGTAATAAAATTGGTAGTAAAATAAAAACATATTTTCATATGATTGCTAGAACAGGGTCCATCTGAAGAAGTTTATTTTCAAAAAAAAGTTTTGTAACAATCTCATTTCAGCTGATTTCGCAACTTCTATATTTTTAGTGTTGTTATTTCCTCACATTACGCATCTTTGAACCGAAAAAACCATCGTAACCCTAATAAAATGAGCATGTCAAAATCTAAAAAAACAGTTTTATGTAAATGAAAGTATCTCACGGTTCATCTTTATGGACACCAAACACAAATCACGTCTAGAAGTGATCGTTGGGCTTGGTCAGCAGGAAATAAAATATTTTACTTTTTCGCAGGTTTAAGCGGTGATCGCTTCCACTTCGATGAAAACGGCGATGCCCCTGCTAGATATAAAATCAAACATTTCAAGCAAGTTTCCGATGGAAAATACGCTTGGATAACGGTCGGCGAATATATTGAAGGCGAACTCAAGCTCAATATGTCAGGTAAGAACAACTTATGTCCAATATAATCTAGTTGTAGAAATTATTCTTTTTGTAATTCTTTAAAGAGTAAGAACAGCAAAAGTGGAATGTTAGAGGAAGCGATTAAATCTGAGATAGAGCTCTTAGATAAAAGAGACCAGAGATATAACATACACCGGTGTTTAACCTGCGCAATTGTTGCCAATTTCTAAAGAAAGGTTAACGGAGTGGGGGAACTGGGCGGCGACTCGCGGCGACCTGAACTCTGTGGCAGGGACCGGACTTTGTTTATTAGCATCATAATGAACTATTAGATTTATTTAAAAGGTGTTTAATCGAATTTTGTATTAATGAAATAAAATTAACCTGATTTTTTATTATTAAACAGATGCCACGACATTTTATGAAAAGAGAAGACCTTTTATAGAATATTTCGTTAGTGTTTATTTACTACGGACTTTTCTGCAAGAGATTACAGTAAAATATTAAAATAGAATATATTATTAATAGAGCAAAAAATGTTACTCATTGTCTACAAGTATTACAAGAATAACATGTGCGCAGGCAAATACTGCAAATCTAACCTTATGAGTTGAACATTATATTTTTTCTACGGCTATTACATAGTAATAAAAATTAGTCAAAATGAGAAAATGCTGTTTTGTATTATAACCTCATAAAAAGGTATATTAAGGCTTCTTTCTTTAGGAATATTAATTAATATAAAGGATGAGTCACATAAAACTCTAGAAATGCATATGTCTGAAACCAGATAACATTTTAAAATTTAAATCTATTAAAAGTCATTTGGTCGCTAGGGATGAGTGATTATCGAAATAAATTATCGATCATTGAAAATAATCGATTATTTTCGATCAATCGATTATTTTCAAACAATATATTTTTTGTCATTTCCTTTAAAATCGACTACTTGATTATCTTTGAAAAATCAAAAATAATCGATTATTTAAAAAGCCAATTAACCGATAAATAAGTATTTACAAAATATAATAAAAAAAGAATTATCGTTTATTTTAAATAATCGTTTATTTTAAATAATCGTCTATTTTAAATAATCGATTATTTTCAAGTAAACCATTTTTTTTCGTCCGTGGAAACAGATTATTCGACAATCTTTAAAAAATCGAAAATAATCGATTAATCAAAAATATTCGATTAATTAAAAAGTCGATTAACTGATAAATCAATTTTCAAAAAAAAGAGAATTATCGAATATTTTAAATAATCGATTATTTTTCATCGATCGATTATTATCAATAATCTATTTTATTGCATATCGTTTAAAATCGATAATTCGATTATCTTTGAAATACCGAAAATAATAGATAATTCCAATAATAATCGCCTAATCGAAAATAACCAATTAATTAAGAAGCCGATTCTATGATAAATCGATTATTGTCAATAATCTATTTTATTGTATTTCCTTTAAAATCGATAATTTGATTATCTTTGAAATACCGAAAATAATCGATAATTCCAAAATAATCGCCTAATCACAAACAACCAATTAATTAAGAAGCCGATTCTATGATAAATCGATTATTATCAATAATCTGTTTTATTGTATTTCCTTTAAAATCGATAATTCGATTATCTTTGAAATACCGAAAATATTCGATAATTCCAAAATAATCGCCTAATCGAAAATAACCAATTAATTAAGAAGCCGATTCTATGATAAATCGATTTTCCAATAATAATAATTTTCTAATAATCCTTTTTTTAATATTTCCTTTAAAATTGATTATTTAATTATCGAAAATAATCGATTATTAAAAAGCTGATTAACCAATAAATCGATAATTTTAAAAAATAACCAAAATATCGGTTATATAAAATAACCGATTATATTCAATCGGTTATTTTCATATAATCAAATAATGAAAAAACCGATTAAACGAAAATCGATTATTTTGAATAAATCTACTTTTTCTTGTATTTCCTTTAAAATCGATTAATACATTATTTTAAGAAAACCAAAATAATTTATTAAAAACAGCGGATAAAACGATTTTCATAAAAAAATATCAGAATTATCGATAAATCGATTATTTTTGTAACCCCTATCGGTCGTTGCCTTTATCCGAGCATTAAGCTCCAAAATTTAGAGATTCAAATTTTTTGATCGCTTTATCTTTGAAACCGCATTCGATTGTATAATAAATAATAAATATTGCTAAATTTTGGATTTTTTTAGTAAACCAAAATTTTGTTCGAGTTGTTTAGGGGTTTGTAATGTAACATTTTATTAATGTGACCAACTCCCGTAACTTTAGTATTTTTTTTTGCTTATACTAGATTATATGGTGCGTTTTATTTTGTTTTAAGACTGAAGATTTAAATGTCACTTTTCGATTTGACCGCAAATAAATGAACCTTGAAATTTTAATTAGGTCATCCCGTATTTAATCTAATATTCTTATTAAAAATACCTTATAAAAATAAAATTTTGCTAGCAACTATGATTCTTTACTTCTTATTTATCTACCAAAAAGGGCTAAAAACCATCTTTAGAAAACATTCTTATAAAACTACTTTTTAAATACAAAATTTCGTTAGCAACAATGCCTATTTACTTTTTATTTAAATTAAATGTTCAAAATTTTACCTTTTTGTAAATTTATGTAAGTAACATGAAATCTGATTTCTGATGCTTAATATTTATTAAAACCCCTTAATGCGGATCTGAAGTATTCAGCCCAGAGAATCATGGCGCTTTATGTCAAAACGTTAATAAATATTTACCACTGAAAACGAATATATTCATAACATTAGTACTTGTATTATAAGTACATACAATTTTTCAAGATTGAACTTGAAATTGAATAACTAGAACACTTTAAATTGCTAAAATACCAACAAATAAATCAAAAAACAGCTGTCAATGGTGATTAAACTCAGGTGAAGGTGATCGATGAATGGAAAAATCGGAGCAATTCGGGTGGCGTCGTGCAAACAATGATTTTCAATTGGTGGGTTACTTTGGGTTAAAATAGACAACATGCGCAGTGTGCAATGTTACATCTTCGGTCTCTTTAATCTAAGATAGTTTTATACACTCCAATTTAAATAGATCGTGAGGGCTAAGTATTTAAGTACTTAGGTTATTCTAGTACAATAATTACGCTTTATGTTTAGTATTATTGATTGAATCTCTGCAATTTTATTATTTTATTGTTAGACTTTTTTAACGGGTTGAAAAAATGTGATAGGAAACAAAATCGAATTTTATGCATCTATAAAAATTTCGTACACCAATGATGCTATTGATCAAACTATATTCTTTAAATATTGGGTAAGCAGGTATACAGCGTAGGTATATATACTAATTTTTCTAACTTTTCTGATCTAATACAATACAATATCCTCTTAAATTCAGAAAACACTCTTTGAGGCGGGGATTAAAAACATCGTACCTTTTTCTACAGTAATATTTTATTAGGGAATGTATTTTGGCTATGTCAAATTGGTTATGACTCTCCCTATATGTACTTACACGTGCATACATTCTAGAAAATACTCCTTTCAACTACCGTGATTTATATCATAATAAAACACCGGCTATTTTTTTAGGATTCACATATAAATAAAAATTTGGAGTGTAAAGACATTCAACGTGTTTCGTAAATTTCAAATGTCAGTGAAAGGAATGTAAATTCCATCACTTCTCTCTCAAGTAAAATGTTATCCATTCGTTTTCATATTCACAGCATGTCTGAAATGCCACGAGATGAAATTACTTTGTTTTTTATTACAAAAATTCTATCAGCGTCATGTCAGATGTTTGCAAATTTATTTTTTAATCTTAGACAACTAAAAAAATACCAAACTATATCATAAACTACTCGTGTCTGATATATTATTTATATTATTATTTTAATTTTAATTAAGATGATATATTTATAAATTTTAAATAATAATAACACAATAACAGTCCACCTTTAGACCTATCTACTTTTGGAATTATAAGTTAATTTGTTACCTTTTTTAATTGTTTTTCTTTGCTATTTGTTGACTATAAATTTTACAGTAATTACTGAATACTGTCATAATTTAAGAAAACAAATATAATGAGTATAATAATTATAAATGGTGGATAAAATAATTTAAGTACATTTTTCGTATTAAAATTCTAGCTCCTACGGTTTATATTGAACGAATAAATCTAAAAATGAAAGCGGTCGTTCGACATTTTCCCTCCAATCAGTCATGGACTTATTGACAATTGCTCTGATAAATGGAGATCAATTATCATCCGCCTCTCCAATTCCAATAAATCAGAGATTTAACTTGAGATTTAACCTAAAGTGAGATTATACTTTTGTGGTACGATTCAGCGAATACTCCTTGCTTCGTATTTCGTTCAGTATAATCTTAAAATTCTGAGAAAATGTATTATAGATATTATAAAGGAGACGCCTTCAATAAATTGCTTTACATTTTAATTCGTATAAACATCAGCCACTAAAGTTTATCTTCTCCACTTTGATCTGTTTTGCGTCATTTCAATCTCAATTACTAACATTATCCCACTATGTTTTCCTTGTATTTTATCTCCTCTTAACAAGTTCTAAGCATCTAATATAGTATCGGCTATTGAACGTTTTCCAATACGTTTTGCATTAGCGAATGTAAAAACTACAAAGGGTTAGCATTAAATCGAGCAGGAAATGAATAATATCAACTTCTCAGTTAGATTTGAATGTGCCAAAGCTTACTTTGTATAGTTATCGTATTATAAACATTAAATAATTCTTGTTTTATCTATGTGGAACTCCACTGTTGGTCTCTTTAATACCTTAAACACCCGTGTCGATGTACACATTATTTTAAAATCTCTCAACATAACTTTAAAAAGTTAAGAACAGTCACTTGGCGTATTTAATGTCTAATGCCATATTTGAAATCACCAAGGATTTCAGACCCTAAAACTCTTGGACAACGTCCATGAAACTATAAACTATAAAACTTTATTTCGGAATTGTAACCATTAATGTTATGGATTATTAAGTGTTAATATGGTGAATTATCGTAGATTTTAGCACCTCCATTTTAACAATCGTTAATAAAACTCTAAATCCTACATAACATTATAGAGGCGTAAGAACAAATTAGTAGTCTCCTCCTTTTTATTGTCTTCCATCGTTCAAAGGGTCCTATTCCCTTTTTCGTTCGTCTGAAATTGCTCAAGGATAACATGATTTGCAAAATCGACAGAATTAGGAATTAGATCGGTAGACTGTGTTCGAAATTTCGAAAACAAAGCCGCAGACCCTAATCAGATAATGAAACATGCACTAGTACTCGTATTTCAAAAGAGAATTTAAATGGTGGATCACAAAATTACATTTAATTTACGGTAATAGTATATAGTGAATCCGTTCTCATAATTTATATTCATACTTACCAGGTAAATCGTAACAGTGGCGTATAGGGTATAGGGGTACATTACTGGTATCATATTGTAAAAATTTGGGTGAATTTTGGACGGATCCACTTTTATGTTTTTGGCAAGGTTCTGCCCCATGTCAACAAAAACTTTATTAAATTCATTTGCTATTTCGTATTTATTTTTTAATAATTCGACAATACTGTTTTTTATTTTAACAATTTCTTTCGTTTATTTTATGTTTTACTTATATCCTGTACTACGTCCCACAAATTTTTAGAATTGTTTTTATCACTTTTAATTTTTTGTTTGAGAAATATGTGATCTAAACAAGATTTGTTGTTACCTTGCACCCTAGTGGCTTCATTAATAGTTGAGTAATAACCATGTTCATTTAAAATATTTAAATATTCCACTTTCATATTGTCCTCAAGTTTTTGTAAATCAATCTTTATATCACCTGTAAATATATAAAAATCATTTGTGTTATCATTATTTTCTTCAAGAAATCTGGATAGACATTCGTTGAAGTCAAGGATACTTGAATTTGGTGATCTGTAAAATGCTGTAACTAAAACTGTATTTGTATCTATTTCAATACTTATTTTAAGTGCTTTCATATCGTTAAAAATTTCAACCGAATCATATGAAAACTGCAAGGACGATTTAATATAAGCCACAACTCCATCATTTTGGTTATGATAACTCTCATTATATATCATGTTGTATCCACTGATCTGGAAAATACTTTGATCTATTACTTCTAGAGTTTCGCTCATTATAATGTAGTCAAAATCAAACTCTAAACTTTGCAAGTTGCAGTTGAATAATTTTAAGGTCTTTAATATTTTTGTTAACTTTTAATATTTCTGAAAATTCAGTTATTTTATTTAACCGTTAACTGACATGTATTCTATGCTGCAATAATTTTTTTTTCAGCAATTCAATTCAAATTAGGCCAGCCTACCCCACCTGAGTCCGTTTGCAGTCTTCCATGTCTACGAGGTCAAGCCAAAAAATATGTTGAAGGGGAGAGTTGCTGTTGGCATTGTTTCAACTGTACTCAATACCAGGTATATGTCATTAGTTTATAATATTAATAGACAATTACAAGAATGTTTATTTAATATGTTTCTTATCATTAATTCTTTATTGATCCGTTAAAATATAAATTGTGCGAATCTTCTTCGTCCAATACCAGAGAACAAATACCGAAACTGACTTAAAGCTGAACGTCTCAATAATTGTATTCACGGGCGTCACTAGAGGAGGGGGTGACATTAGTAAAATAAATTAGAAAGCATGTCCCTAATCATCGCTTGAGTTCTTTAAATATTATTATTCTCATTAGGTAATTTGTTTCTATTCTTAAATTTGACTTAATTGTTTTATGCTCACTTGGATAGAACTCCGAACTCCCTTTGAGCAAAAATGGTATTCAGTTAATTTTTCTGAATTCTTTGTAAGTTGTACTCGAACTTCTGAACAGAAGCATATATTAGTTTTTGATATATTTTGAATGCCTCACTGATATCAACAATATTTCCCATAAAGAAAACTAAGTCACAGTTACCACAGAATTTGATGCGTTAGTAAAAATGTTTAGAAAATAATCAGTATAATTTCTAGTTAATGTTTTTCATAAATTTATTTCAACATGGTTGTTGAAAGATTATTTACCACAAGAAAAAAATTTTTCTTTACTTTTCTTCAACGATCATTTTACTAATTATTGCAGAAAATTTTTCAAATACACTGAATATCTTAGGGCAGAAATGTCACGAATTAATTAGGTATTTGGCGCGGGTAATGAAGCTTCTAGTTTGCATCTAAACTAAATTTACATAGATTAATATATAGTTCCAAGAATACCCCGAAGATATTCACGGATAGGAAGCGACCCAATTTAGCATAATACATTAACTTGATAAACTAAATTAGCAAAAATAAAGGGCTCAAAGCTGGTTTTAATTATAATTCATCATGAAAATAAAAAACAGTTCCCACAAGTCAAGTTTGAAAGCTATAGCAATGAATTATGGTAATACACGCCGAAACATGAACTAATTTTACAAAAGGCTTCTAGACCATTTATGCTCCTGTTATATACAATGTACAATGTTGTTAAATGGAAAAAATTTTATAACAAAATGTTTCGAATATTTAAATAAACAATTTTCTGTCAAACTGTGTTCTGTAAAGTAACATTTCTACTTGCTAAAGTGCCACATTAATAATTTTTGTAGCAACATGGCAAATAATTATTTAAATTGCGAAAAACAATTCTATAATAACATAATACTTGAAAACCAAAGTACATGTGCAACGGTTGCCACTAATTTATTTCAAAATCAAATTAAACAAGTACGTTTCAAACTATGAAACTATGCAATTCAACTAAAAGTAGCCCCGTTTCAATTAATTTACCCTTTTATACCTGTGTGAGTGTCTCCACTCTATGCAGAGGCGAATATATAAAATAGGGAATGTGCTGTTAAAATAGATCGTTCGGAACACATTGTAGACATACCTACAACGGGAAATTGAAAATAAAATTTAGGAAGGTCCATAACGTTCGACAATTTCAAAGATTTCCGTTCTGGAACCGTGTAGTAAAATTTTAACTTAATTTACAGGCAATCCATACAATTTACCACCTTATATTTCAAGGCAGAAAAGAATAAACAATGCTATACCTCTTGGACATATAAAATCAGTAGGATCTTCGTGAAAAAGTAGAAAAATGTAATACAGTCAGATTGACAGTTGTAGTATTAATAATAAAATCAAATGAAAAGTTTTAGTTGATAAGAAATAATTCCTTATTAAAAGTTTTACGTTTTATACTGAAAATGTGTTTTTAATGCTACAATAATTTAATTTAGTCGCCATTAGTGACCGCCGATTAGTGACAATAAATTCATACAGCTAAAACAGACTGCTTGATTACCACTATTTAAAATTCCATTTGCATTTAAAATAATTTTTTGTTACTGCAAAGAGGGGAATGGAATGTATCTAGGTCAAAAATTGTCAGTAATAATGAGACCCGAAATTCTGTCTTTAACCCCCTATAAAATCCCATTAAACCAACCATGTCTTTAATGCGATTAAATCCCATTGTTATAAGGGTAAACCACTCGAGCCGAACACGTGTAGTTTCAAATTAAGACCCAAAGTTCCTTTGGAGAAGGATTTAAATAATGTACCCTGCACTTGCCTAAGTTTTCCTTTTATATCCATTTTATTAGAATTTTTTTAAAAGATTTAGTAAAACTGAAAAATCTCCCAGACGAGTAAGATATTTGTACAGATCGTTCCTTTGCCAGTCCTCATAAAAATAATCCTTCTGTCAAGATAATTTTTCAACTCGATATTAATGGGCGCGATACAACTTTTATCAATATTATTTAATAAACATACCACGAAATTAAAATATACTGCTTCAAAAAATTAATCCAAAATTAACAGCCTGAAACACCGAAAATATACAGTATGTTCGCTATACTTACGCGGGTTTCGGATTAAAATTTCCAGGTAAGTACTCAAAAGTTTGACCTGTTCTTTGGGGAAATATTAACTGGTTAAATGAAATGAAAAATAATGTACAACTTTTTAATTAAATAATAATGGAGAATCTTTTGTATAATCGAGAGCAGAATTAAACTTCTTCATTAATGGAGTCTAATGTGGCTATTATAAACCTAAAAATAATTTTATATTACACTTGACACAGAAAATATGGTCTATGTATAATAAGAGGGTTATTTAGCTCAAATACAATATTTTCTAACATAAAAATTTGTTCCATGTAGAGAATTTCAAATGAAAAATAAAAAAATTGAACTTGCCAACAAAAATGAAAATCAGTCATTATCATCCAAAATATCATAATCGTCGTCATCATCATCATCACTGTCATCACCATTAATTGTTATTATGATTGAACTTATTTCATTTATTTTATTTTCACGAGTCCACCAATCTTCTATTAGTTTCTCGCACTTGGATATATAGTTCCGCCACACTTCTGGAGTTGAATTGAAACTGGCAATGATACGGTGGCAGACGTAAAACTTGATGACCGTAACTTTCAATAATCTGATCCACAACAAAGATTTTTGGTTTTGCGTGTATATTTGCCAAACGTAATAATTCTGATTTTAATATATATTGAGGAAATGGTATATGTTCCTTTGTCAACCATTTTTTAATTTTATCAACAGTCCAAGAATTCGTTGGACTTTTGTTTAATACTTCAGAATGATAAGGTGCATTGTCTAAAATAATTACGCTGGGCTCACTTAAACCTGGGAAAAGTTTTTCATGCAACCATTTTACAAACATTTCTGTGTTCATATTATCGTGATAGTCACTGGACTTTGATTTAGATGAAAATATTAAATCGGCACCTTCTTAAAACCCGATTTCCCTCCTGCATGTAAAATTATGTGTCGCTTCCCTTCTCCATCGGTATGTTTGATGGACTTTACGTTATCATCTTGTCATATTATCTTGGTTGCACCCCTAGAAAATATCCATGTTTCGTCTAAATATATAAAATTCGCCCCTTCTTCTTTAAATTTAGAATATTTTTTTAGAAAGTTAATTCTCTTGTGCACGACAGAACTTCGTTCACAAAGGGCCTTTCTGTTATCCTCCTTTTGAAATTTAAAACCCAAGTTATGTATCACTTGCCATAGACTTGTCCTGCCAATGTCGTCAAATTTTCTATCTACTAATTCCGAGAGACTTGTATGTCAACACTTGCAAAGAATCAATTCAACTGCAATACTTGTAACAAATTTAGTACCTACCCTAATGTTATTTTAATTTAAATCTGTCCATTATGGCAATTTTACCTAATTTCTTGGGAAGAGGCTTAATGGAATTGGTTGTCAATGACTAATTTGCATAATTTTGTTAATCCGAAACCCGCGTAAGTATAGCGAACAGACTGTAGTATATTTCTCAGTTTAGTTCAGACATGGTTTAGTCAATTTTGTAGCGGATACATTGTCATAATATCGTAACGATCGTAATCAACTCAGTAAATTAATTTTTTCTTTAATACCTAATATTAGGAATGAGCAAATTTTTTAAAACACCTATGTTGACATCAAATGTACTCAAGTATGTGTACAGTATTCAATAAGTATCTACTTTTATTTGATAGTACGTTCTAAGTATTTAATACAGAATGTTTCATTAACATTGAACATTAAAGAATAAAAAGTGTATATATTGAAAATCGGGCAAATTTTTTAAATATATGTTTCCAAAAATTAATACTTATTGTTTTTATTGTTATTACAAATTTTTTCTTTAGCCTTAACCATGCAATATTTTACTGTATCATTGTGCACCCAAATTTCAAGTTTCTTGCTACATTTGTCGACCTGTATCCAAGAATGTTTCGGTTATGTGTTAAGTTGTTATGTTAGTTGATACCGGATTTTCCACATATTCAATATCATCCAATTTCATATTAGAAAGTACTTTTCTGCTGAGCCAAAAAAAAAACAATAAAATAATAGATAAATTTGTTGAATGTTTGACACATTTTGCACTACAATGTTGCAGATAGTTTTTTATTTATATAAAATAAAATAAATATTTATAAGGTTAAGTTTCGTGCAATATTTCTAAATTAATTACGAGGATTATTGCGTTTTTCGAGGTACTTTTGTTTTAGTTTTGATTCATCTTTAGTGCGTGTTGGTTTTCGCTACAAACTATTCGCCGCAAAGAAAAAGAAAAATATCTAAAAACCGTAAAGTAGCAGTTTCGGGAAATGGATCGCATACTGAATAGAAGAAAATTGTTTGATGCAGCAGATTTTTCATGCACTTCTGTTTGTAGAATTCTGCAACATAACAAATTCAATTCGTATGTGTAATACAGATGGTGAAAATACTGCAATTTTGTGCGACAATAACTGAAATATACATAACTTCAAATAAAGTGAGTCCTACGATATTTCACAAAGTATCTTTTTAAAAAGTCGCGTATCCAGTGAAATCAGATGAAAACATATATTTTTAATATGTGTTTTAATAATGAAAAATACATTTCTACTATAATTTTAATTTAATTTTAATTTTTATGACTCTAAGTTGATCTGAATTTTATAAAAATATTAAACGAACCAGTCTCGTCACTACATACTGTCCTTATCTTTACAGATTCGCCATAAAGACGACCCGACACAATGTATTAAATGTCCTAAGGGAACCATTCCGGATCCTCACCACGAATATTGCCAAGAAATTCCAGAGGAATACTTACAGCCGGTTAGCGGTTGGGCCATCGGTGCTATGGCTTTTAGTTCCACGGGAATACTCATCACAGTTTTTATATTTGGAGTTTTCATCAAGCACAACGAGACTCCCATTGTTAGAGCTTCGGGTCGGGAATTGAGCTACGTGCTTCTAAGTGGAATTTTAATGTGTTACAGTGTCACCTATGCATTGATACTGAAACCTACTGACATCGTCTGCGCCATACAGAGGTAAGTCTTTTAGACAAAGAAAATATTTTCTTTAATACAAATGATATGTATATAAAGGAATACCGCAAAAGTTCAGCATGATATCTTGGCAAATACTGATAAATTTACAGTTAATATTTAGAAACCTTGAGTTTACGGAGAAGAAAAAGAAAGACGGAAAAATACTGGCTTTTAAAAACGAAAAACTGAAAATTTTAAAGGTCTATTAAAAAAAATATTATTGTTTGATCTAACAGAAGTTGATATAAACATTAAAAAAATGAATCAAAGCCCTATTTTCTTAATCTATATTTCTTAAATAGTATAAATAAAGTTTATTCAGAGGTTTTTGAAGCTATTCAGGAATTAATTAGGTCAGAGAGTGTTTAGATTTTTGGCGATTTCAAAATAACGTAGTTATTTCTACACTAGGTAATTCAAATGGAATTAACGTACATATGTTAATAGAGTTTTGGCAATTTAATTCATTTATGTTAGTAAATAATGATGAAAATGTAAATTAAAGTTTACTACCTCTAGTAAACAAAACTTTTCAACCGCCTGTTATATTGTACACAGGGTGTCCTTTAAAATGTGTCCCAAAATTCTCAGGCAGATTCCTTAACCAAAAAATGGAAAAAAAGTTCCTATAGACCTATGTCTTAAAGTGCCCCCTAAGCGAGCAACAGCCTCTCGAAATCATTTTTTTTATTTTGATTTTTTGAATTTTCTTAAAAATGGAAACAAATAAAACACCCAATTTTGGCTGTCAAATATGATCAATAATAGTGACCTTTTGACACCTTCAAAAAGAAATTATTTCGTCAGGGGTGTACTTGGGAATTTTTTGAAAATTTTGATTATTCATAACTTTTTTGTGTTTTTGGTAATGACTTATCCATATTTTTTTTTACATTCTACATTGAAAACTACGTCAAAAAGGAATACTTGTTTGATCTCGATTGGAGCAGCCGTTTCCGAGAAAACATCATCCAAAGATATTCGTGCAGTTTAGGTTAATTTTCAATTTTGGCTGTTGTAGCCAAAAAGTTGGAAATCGAGGAACACGGCTTACATGTCCCTATCCTTACTTTTGAAGGTCTATTCAGTGGCAAAAAATATTAGTTGATACAGGGTGATCAAAAATCGGATGTGATTTTGGATTTTTGATCACCCTGTATCAAATAATATGTATTTTATGTCACTGAATAGACCTTAAAAAGTTAGGATAGGGACTGTAAGCCGTTTTCCTCGATTTCCAACTGTTTGGCTACAACAGCCACCTGAATTTGAAAAAATGTGATTTTTGAGTAGCTGTAGATCCTTTACTATTCATATTAGATAACAAGTGTGATATATCATTGAAATCAGATTATCGAGCAGATTCTAAAAATATAAAAATATACAGGGTGTTCCATTTAAAAAACATAACTTTGATTTGGAACGGCCTTATGAAACACCCTGTCACATCGTAACTAATTTTAAAATGTGAAGCTTAAAGCTGCCTACTTTTATTATAACAGATCTACAGAGCTTCCTCACACTAATCAATCACCCTGTATACTATTTTTAGCTCTCTAAATAAAATTTAAAAATTTAGTTCCCATTTATTTATTATGAAGACCATAAGGTTTGTATTTAGCTGTTTAGAATAAAAAAGTAAAAATATGTATTTTTTTGGCGTTTTTGTGTTTCATGGATAATTTTTTTCGCTCACTGATAAAAATGTTTCTTCAGTTAAACATTATTTCTAAAAGTGTTCTGGTGCGATTCGTTGTATTGTTATTATTTTGTTTAAAATGGCTCACAATAACTACAATAATGATTACACATTCAGCGAAATGACGGACATGCACTTATGTTTTGGACTCGCTTCTGGAAATGCCAATGAAGCTCGCAGACTTTATCAGGAGCGCTTTCCAAATAGGCATCTTCCATGCGCTAAGACGTTTTCTAGAATTGACGATAGACTTCGGGAAACTGGTACATTTAAGAAAAACTCTAGTAACAGTGGAAGACAAAATTATGTGAGAACTCCTGCTTTGGAAGAAGCAATTTTGGATAGGGTAGCTGAAACCCCATCGACAAGTACCAGAAAAATAGCAAATGGTAAGTAATTACTTATTTATTATTTTAGCTACCCCGTACCTTATCGTATAAAACTAGTTTTTTTACTTGTTATTGCTTCTCTTACATTTCACGACTTTTCGTATCGAAAAGAGTTGCGTTATGCAGAAAAAATCTGATTTCCCAAATCAATGGATTCTCTTTCTTAACTATTCACTACACAGATTCTCTCATTTAATTTCAGAAGTGGGAGTCGGACGTAACACGGTATGGAAAGTTTTGCGTGAACAACAAGTGTACCCTTACCACATTCAAAAAGTTCAGGCACTTAAAGCTACTGATTATGAGCCGCGAGTTATCTTTTCTGAATGGTTTCTTGGAAGATGTAATCAAGATGCAATGTTTCTTAATAAAGTGCTATTTACCGATGAAGCTGGTTTCACTAGAGATGGTATAATAAATTTTCGAAATATGCATGAATGGGCTGAAGATAACCCTCACGCGGTTGTTGAACGTCACCACCAGGATAAATTTTCAATAAACGTCTGGGCTGGAGTTATTGATAATTACCTTATTGGACCATTTGTTTTGCCGAATAGGTTAAATGGAGCAGCATACAGGCTTTTTTTGGAAAATAACTTACATGAGCTTCTTGATAATATTCCGATTCAAATCAGACATAACATGTGGTTTATGCATGATGGAGCTCCACCACATTACAGCCTTGAAGCTAGACAGCACCTTAACGAAAGATTTGAGGGTAGAGTAATTGGCAGAGGTTGTCCTGTTAACTGGCCACCTCGTTCACCAGATCTAAATCCAATGGATTTTTTTGTTTGGAGTTATTTAAAATCATTGGTTTATTCCAGTCCTGTTGAAACAGTTGAAGAATTGGAAGAACGAGTTTTTCATCATTGCGAAGTTCTTAGGAATAATCCTGAAGTATTTTTTCGTGTAAGACAGTCTATGATGCGACGGTTGCGCTTGTGTGTGGAAACCAATGGTCGCCACATTGAGCATCTGCTTTAATTTTTTTTGATTTGTTTTTTTAGAATAAATATTTTTTTAAACCGTTTCTTATTATTAAATAAAAATAGTCCCACCACGACATTTGAACTACAATTATTTAGCGAGAGCTAAAAAAGTTATTTTTATTTACGAGATTCACCGAGGTAATTTAGGAAAATTGAAAATTAACCTAAACTGCACGAATATCTTTGGATGATGTTTTCTCGGAAACGGCTGCTCCAATCGAGATCAAACAAGTATTCCTTTTTGACGTAGTTTTCAATGTAGAATGTAAAAAAAAATATGGATAAGTCATTACCAAAAACACAAAAAAGTTATGAATAATCAAAATTTTCAAAAAATTCCCAAGTACACCCCTGACGAAATAATTTCTTTTTGAAGGTGTCAAAAGGTCACTATTATTGATCATATTTAACAGCCAAAATTTGGTTCTTTTATTTGTTTCCATTTTTAAGAAAATTCAAAAAATCAAAATAAAAAAAATGATTTCGAGAGGCTGTTGCTCGCTTAGGGGGCACTTTAGGACATAGGTCTATAGGAACTTTTTTTCCATTTTTTGGTTAAGGAATTGCCTGAGAATTTTGGGACACATTTTAAAGGACACCCTGTATAATCATATATTTCACTTAAGTGATATAAACCTCTTAGACCCTCCACCGTATTTCTAATTAGTTGGTGGGATTGTGAAGTTCTTCAAACTTTTTAATTGCTTTCGGTACTGTTTGGTTTTCTTTAATTGCATTTTTCCTTTATCTTTTCCTAAACTTTTAAGAGTATACTTTTCTAATGCAATTTGTAGGTAAGTGTATCGGAGCTACTACTCTTATCCGATTTGTCTTTTGTGGCTTATTCGCTTTGTTGTAATGATGTTGATAATATAACTTTCTTGGTTATTTTTGGTAGCATTACTAAATTCGTATGTTTATTTAGATAATACTAATTTATTTATATTATTATGAGTATTATGAGTTGCGTATTATAAAACAAACAGGTACTTTTGTCAATTTACCTAAAACTAAAATATTTTGTATCAATTTATTATTTTGGCTAAACTAGGAGAATGTTCTGGAAAACTTAAAAAAATAGAATTGAGTTAATTTATTAATTTTTGTTGTTTTAAAACACTGTTTTTTTCTGAAGACAGACCAATGAATACATTATTTATTCCAGCAATTTCAACACTAGTGGTCCTTTTAAATCTTTTACTCTTAATGAAAATTCTAAATCCAAAACAACTCTTTCAGGTTATCAAAGATATAGCGATCGACAAAAAATGTTTCTCTAGAAGCATATAATTCTTAATTTTAAAATGATAGTTTGGTTTTAATCCAGGGACATGAGTCGTATCTCTAACTTTGTAAGACAACGGATAATATAAATTAACGTAAATTTTGGAAACAGTGTAAGAAAAATTTAATATATCGACCAATGTATAAAATGTGAAGAACTAAAGCTATTTGAGATCAAAAATTACGGTGCTACAATTTTAGATCGAAAATGAATGTCTGAATTAAATATTTCTATAGATAAGCGTAAAAAATCAATCATCGAAGTGAAGTAGATATTGCTAAAGTTTCTGAAATGTTATAAATTTCCAGATGTGAACTGAAGATTTGGGTAAATTTAATAAAAGGAAATGTTATTCCGATTTTAATAAATCCCGTAATATAATTTTAATTTTCATAGAAAAATGTAATAAATAGTTAAATAACTTATTTGAATCTAAAATGATGACTCCAAATAAATAGAGCGAAACAGTGTTTCGAAACATGGCGTAAAGAATTCAAAATTAAAAATAACATTTATTTTTATAACCAAATTTTTACAGAATAGTCTCTTCTCTATGGGAGTTCAATTTATGTTTATTGAAATTTATTAATATCTAATCTGAAACACATTTACCTAGTTCGCATTAGGGATTTCCTCTTTTGGTAACACATTATTTCAGAAAGACAGATGGAGGGCAATAATATGTTACTGTATACACAAAACCCGGCAACGGTTGACATTTCACTAATTCAGAGCAGAGTAAACAGGAGAATTCACAACGGCGGGAAGCTGTAAAGGATGATTCACAATCGCGCATAATTGAAACCCACATTGAATTAAATGGTGACCACAACTGCAATTGAATCGCTCTATCTTAAGGTCTTAACATGATATGGAATGTCTTTTTTTTGCTAAAATATTAAGTGACCTTCCAAACAAAAACTATTGGTTTGTAATTAATTTTGTAATTAATAATAGGTATGTTCTTTCCTTAAGTTAGTCACTCATTCAAATACACAACAAGCTGAATCGCTGTTCTTCCTTTTTCGTTTCGGTTCATAGACCTTTATTTAGTTTATTCATTTTAATTTGACTTATGAATTTTAAAGCATCTGTTATAGATCGTTAACAACTTTTTTAGTTTCCGTACAGGACTAAATTTTCTTTAAATTAAAACAGCTCAGCAGAACGATAAAAACTTTTCATACCTATACACACCAAGTTTTTTATTGATGTTAAATTTTTTACCGCAAAAACAGCCGCTAAAGTCAATAATTTACAGTTTACGTACTTTTTGCCGGCGATTTACGGAAAACACATATTAAAACTTTCACCTAAAACAAGTAAAAAAGTGCTTTCAGTTGCACGGCAATAAATTGCTTATTTCTCCTGTGAGAGCTACACTTTGTGAAGTAATAAAAATAAAATATTACTAGTATTTCACTGTTGTTGTCAGGACTGGCCTTTGGGAAAGATCGAGGGCAAGATGTGGATAAAACTACTGTCCCAAATGGAATAGAATGTGACAGAGAAAAATACATTATTGTTGGCAAAATTTTTCATTTGGTTCATTCAAAAAAGAATCTAAATTGAATGATACAAATTTAAACTACAATGAAATTTAAAATTATTTAAAAATGTAAGCATGATTAAAGCATTACAATTTCCAGTGTCATAGAAGTAACAAGAGATAGTCTTCGCTGTAACCTGGATACTGGTCGAATGACTGCAGACCAGTATTATAAATTTCCAAGGATAAAAAGTAAACCTAAAGCATGCTTTTCTCAAAAAACAAAATGTATTATTACCAACTTTCCGCTTTCTGATTCAAATAAAATGTTTAATATGTTTCATGTTAATTAAGACCATAAATTTTCCAAATTAAAAAAAAACAACTACTGTATTCTACATGATTTTTTTAATCCAGTGCACAATAAATTAAAAGAGACAAACATTTTTAACAGAAATTAAATCGAGAAGAATGTACATCATTTACATTTAACATCTGATGCACGCCGATACTTTGTAGAATGTTACAAATTTAAATTAAACTATTTTTACACGAGATGGAAATACTTAATCGGTTTTTCGACAGTAAACCAAAAATCAATATTAATTAATAATCTTTAATGTCAGTCTCGAATTTAAAAGTATACAAACAATGTCTGACAATCGAGACATATCGATTTCTTAACAAAAAAACTAATAATATTTATAGTCCTGTTGAATCCTTAAAATTTCTAGGGCATTGATTTCACAATCAGAAGATTTATGAAACACATCTTCTCAGTATCTTTTCGTGTTTGCGATTAAAAATAGATTAGTGTAAGCTAGGTCCTTTATTTCTTGGTCTATTTTCACAAGAAAACAATTATTACCCAAATTGTTATGTTAGGTATCTAACTTTTTCACTGAAATATCGTCTACAGATTTCTTTGATTTTATTGGTATATGTTTTCGTGTGGTTTGGACAGTAACATTGTCTTTACTAGCTAGACAAATAACCAAATTGTTTTTCCATTTGATTATAATCATTGCTGGATCTGATATACGGTTTCAATCCTAAATCTTTTTAATAAAAAAGAAATAGAGATACTTGCGTTAGTACTCTTGGGAATAAAGTGAATATGTTTTGATTGACTTTGCATCGTTGAGATTGATGCATTTTGAGTAGAGATGTTACTTTTTTGTTCTATATTGTTAGAATTTGGTGTGTGAATTCTTTTTTGTTATTGAACAGCTTCATCAAAAATTTGCATGGCTGGTTAGTTGACATCTAGAATGAAGGTTTGGTTGATGTATAATGTGAGGGTTTGAATGATGTATAGGTTTAGGGGTTGATACTGGGTAGTGGCAAAGTGGTACATGAGATACGAGTTGATTTTTAATAGTTCTATATAGGAATCAGTAACATTTTTAAATGTTTTTTAATGTTGTTGTATAGTTTTTTTGTAACTTCTGTTTTGCTGATGTTTTTTGAATGTAAAATTCAATTTTTTTTATAGTTTTCATATGGTTCTGTATTTTTTTTAGGTAATTTTATTTTCATCATATAAGTGTTGTTATTATTTATTGTGCTATTATTACAAGATGCTATTGGTTGAATGAAAATACAATCAAACGGTCGTATCATATATTAAAAAGAATCCAGATTACTATCCTGCTCATTCTGGTGCTCGACAACTCTTTGTGTTTTAGAACCAATAAAAACGCAATCACTAAAATGAAAATTAAAAGTTATTGCATTTCCACTCTTCATCTTTTTCGTGTATTTATGTGAGTTTGCGATTGGAGATCTTTCAATTAATAAAGCTTTCAAAATCTTTTGGAGTGGAATTATGAAGAAACCTCTCTTATTTAACGATATAAAATACCAAAATTAAAACTTTTTAGTGGAAAAAGACTTAATAAGGATATACAGTATTGTCTTCTAAGCTACGGGCGTGAAGTTTACTTTTGATGTGTTAAATCATCAAATACTGATGTGAATCACTTATTATTTGGGATTTTATGATGCAGTGACCAACTGTATGAAATATTTTTTACGCAAAAGATATTAAAGAGTACAAACACATGAAAATTAGAAGTTCTTCAAGGTAGTATCCTTGTCCCTCTATTATACACTATATTATACTTTCAATGCTCTCTACAATACTGTTATTGCCACTTTTATGCTGATGTTACACAGATATACTTTTTATTTTTTTTATTCAATTGTTGGGAAACATGCTTAAAGTTATTTCGACTGGCTTCATCATTTGGATAGGAGGATATACATAGGGATACCTTATCCTTGATCGTTGACGCTCAAATGGTTAACAAAATCTCTCCTAAAATCTTACTGTTCACAGAATATTATTTTTTTTGTTTACCCCCATTGTTAAATTGAACAGAAAATTCTAACTTACAGTCACATTGCATTAAATCGTATAATGCATGAAGCTAATCTCTCCTATAATCATATTTTCCAATATTTAAACATTTTGTCACGTAATAACCAAGTGATGAAGCCACTTTAAGCATAGTTCCAACTATTACATAAAATCTTTCCTGCACATTCGATAGGTACTCCTTAAGAACAATAAACTTGTAAGACTTGTTTTAACTAAACTTCTGACTTATAAAATTCGAGAAGAAACATTTTAATTTTAATTTGGTTACAGATTCAGCGCGGGATTTTGTTTTACCGTAGTATATGGAGCACTACTAACTAAAACAAATCGAATTTCAAGAATTTTCAACGCCGGAAAACATTCGGCTAAAAGGCCCAATTTCATATCGCCGCGCTCTCAACTTGTGATATGTTTCGGCCTGGTTGGTGTGCAGGTAAATATTTAACATAATTTTCCAAATTCAAGTGAAAATTTCTTCTATTCGCTGTTTCTAATCAGAAATTTTAACCCAGGTTATGTCTAGAGCAAGTTACTTATACAGTGTTGGCCACTGAACTACCGAGAGTTAGCATTAGATCGAGCAGGAAACGAATGATATCAGCGTTGCAAAAATAGCAAAGTTAACCTTGTAGATCACAAGAAAGAAATCGAAAAATGACAATTTGTAGTATTTACGAAAGCTGAGATTGAATATCAATAGGGTATTTAATTGTGAAAAAACACTTATATTTTTTTTAAATTAAGAAAATATCGTCAACGATAAAAGTAATCTCTTCCAAAGCTCTTAGCGAAATACAATAAGAAATCAGTTCGACTTCGAGGGTATTTTATATTGGAGATATCAGGTGAAAAATGGTCCTTTTTTTGTTTTTTAGGTTTTGATAAATGGGATTTGGATGCTAATATCACCGCCGAAAGCGATACATCATTATCCAACAAGAGAAGACAATTTACTGGTATGTTCCTCTTATATCGATGCTTCATATATGATAGCGTTCACTTACCCAATCTTTCTTATCGTCGTATGTACCATATACGCAGTGTTAACAAGAAAGATTCCGGAGGCATTCAATGAGTCAAAGCACATAGGTAATACTATATTTTTACATTGTTTTTTACTATATTTCCTTGAATTTTATATCATTAGCAGACATTTGTACACAAACTCAAATTAACTATAATAATTTATTTATTTATTTATTTGGGTTACACCATCCAACAGTATAAAACCAATTACAGGATGGGCACAAAAATAATTCCAATTACAGTATAATTTACATCATAAAAATAATAACAAAATATTAAGTACTAATAATAGCATAAATATATGTAAACAAAAAATAGTTTAATGAACGTTTTTAACCATCATAAGAAGACGCAAAAAAAAAACTTCGTTAGGAGAAAAAATTACGTTGTCTTATGATAATTAACTCAGTTCACAATTAAGCGTTTTATTTCTTTAATTGAAATAGAAAATAAATCAACATCATTTTGAAGTTCACAAAAATTTTGATAAATAAAATACATTGGAGAAAATTTTAAAATATTTATCCTGGGTGTCTGAAAATAGAAATAAAAAGGGGAGCGAGTTCTGATACTAGGAACATTAAACATTAGTTGACGAAGTAGTTCGGGACAGTCAATTTTAAAATTTAATAATTTGTAAAGAATGCAGATAGAATAACATTTCCTGCGAGTACGTAATTCAAGGATATCAAATCTATTCAGCAAGATGGTTTGCAGAATATTGCGAGTAGGGTAGACGCCATCTAACTTGCACTACAAATATTTGACAAATTTTCGCTGAATTTTTTCTAATACCTGGCTATGTACTTCGTATCCAGGACTCCAAACAATGGACGCATATTCTAGCTTACTACGTACAAAAGCGTTAAAAATAGTTTTTAAAGTGTTAGGCTCAGTGAACTGGCGTCCATTTCGAGTAACAAAACCCAAATTTCTGTATGCTTCTTTTTGAATAGTATTGACATGTTCAATAAAGTTTAACTTAGCGTCGAAAAGAACACCAAGATCTCTAAAAGAAAGACATTTATTGATGGTAATATTGTTGACAGTGAAATTATACTCAATCGGATTTAGTTTGCGAGTGAAGCTTATAGAATTGCACTTAGATATGTTTAGTGGTAAGTTGTTAGAATTACACCAAAGGTTCAATTTATTTAGGTTCTCCTGCATAATCAAACAGTCATCAATACTAGAGATTGATTTAAACAATTTTAAATCATCGGCATAGAGTAGAGTATTACATGATAGGTTTTCAGTAATGTCATTTACAAAAATGGAAAATAAAAGTGGTCCTAGAACTGAACCTTGAAGGACACCGGAAGAAGCTTTTATACAAATTGACTGAAAACCATGGTATTCAACTTTCAATTTACGATTACTTAAATATGATTCAAAGAAACGCAGAAAAGACGTAGTGAGTCCAACAGTGGAAAGCTTGTTCAAAAGTATACTATGATCGAGGCGATCAAAGGCCTTGGAAAAGTCAGTATATATAGCTTCAACCTGGCCACCCCTATCAAGGTTTTGCGCAACATATTGTGTAAAGCATATCAGATTGGTCTCTGTGGATCTGCCTGGAAAAAAGCCGTGCTGTTCCGTAGATATAATCGATTTTACATGAGCGAAAAGTATTTCATAAATGACATTTTCGAAAACTTTTCCAAAATTGCTAAGGATGGATATAGATCTGTAGTTTTCTATGATAGATTTGGATCCTTTCTTAAAGATTGGACATATTTTAGATATCTTCCAATTACTTGGAAAATTGCCTTCTCGTAAGGACATATTAAAGACCATGGTTAAAGGTTTGGTTAAAATATTTGCACAATCTCTTATTAAAAATGCCGAAATATCATCTGGACCTCTAGTATTTTTAGATTTCAATCTTTTAAGACCTTTCATGACATCTTCTTCTGTAAGTAGCGGAATGTTACAACTGTTAATATTAACAACATTATCTAGTTTAGAAATATCAATTTTAGACGAATTAGTGTACGATGACTGAAAATATGTAGCAAATGCATTGACAATGTCTTGTGAATTATTTATGATGTAAGTAAGATAAATCTTCTTATGGAATTTATCCAATAATCAATACATAAGATTTTTAATTACGGTTATTCAAAGATTTACAACAAATTAGAAATTTTAAATAACTAAACGATCTTCTTCAATATAATAATAATAATAATAATAATAATAATAATAATAATAATAATAATATAAGGTATATTACACAAGAATTACATTAACTATTTATTCTAAATACATATAAGTGTAAGTAACCTAGTAAATCCACTAAGGCTAAGCCAGCACGTGGATTTGCCATTGACACTTTTTTTTTCTTATATACCTATTCAATTACATTTATATTTATAAAATTTCATAAAAATGATGAAAATAATAGTTATTAAAACAGATATATTGAATCATATTAAAAAAGAATAATTATAAAATAATAATAATAAAAATAATTATAATCGATTAAAAACATTGAAATTACAGGATAAATATATAAAAATTAAATATTAAAAACTAAATACATTTATTTAAATGAATATCACAATTTTTTTATACTAAGAATTGCATAGGATCGACTACGGCGTGAACTTCATGCCTATTCATTTGCAACATGTGTCTTTTTATTTTATTTTTAAAAATATTTACGGATTTTGTTTCTCTTATATGTACCGGCAGATAATTAAATAGTCTAAAAGAGTTATGTACAAATCCCCTTTGGCTTATTGTTATTGAAAAGTAGTCTACATGAATATAGACTGTCCGCTGCTCATTTTCTCCTTTAAAGTTTCTTTCATGATCGCAAAGCCATGTGTTATTGTTTGGAAGCATATATTTCATTGTGGGGATTAAAAAAAGAAAATGCATCGATTTTAATTTCTAAAAATGAATCTTGTAAATTTAACTCATTGAAAATATTCTATTGTTTTATTTTTTAGGTTTCACTATGTACACAACTTGTGTTATATGGTTGGCGTTTGTACCGTTATATTTTGGAACTGCTAACCACGTAGCGTTAAGGATAACAAGCATGTCCGTCACTATAAGTCTGTCTGCAAGTGTTACGGTTGCATGTCTTTTTTCGCCAAAGGTAAGTTTTTCTCCAACGATAACATTATTAATTATGTGATAAATTTTATATTTATTTTCAGTTATATATCATACTAGTTCGCCCCGAAAGAAATATAAGACAAAGCATGATGCCAATGAGGTATAGCGCAATAAATAAGAGTTCTACAAATACTGGATCTGGAAGTATGATGGCAGCTGTAATGGTGACTGCAGCTACCTGCGACCAAAAACAAAACGTTCAGAAGCATGTATCTCCCATCGAGAATGTAGTGGATGGTAAGAAAATTGCTATTTGTTAACGAATTATGATTGGCTGGCTTCAAAATGTTAATATTTGCTCATATTTGATATATAAAGTTAGATATCTCATACGATAGGAAATGTTATCCAAATTTGCTGAATATTTATACAGAAAAAATGTGATGCATACGCTCGCAAATACTTGTAAGGATGTTGCAAGAAATATGGGGTCAACCTTCCTTTCAAATTATTTAGTAAAAATTTATCTTATCGGTGGTAACAATCTAATTTTTGCATTGCTATAAGTAGCAGAAGTTGAAGCTGAAGTTGGACAATCCTTGAATAACTGTACAAAATAAAACTATTTAAATTTACTTGAAACTAAAATCAACGAAATAATTAAATTTAAAATTTTGGCAAAAGCGCAAAATATTTGGTGATAGCGTAGGGAAATTTAAAATTATGGTGTATGCGACTTTTATTTAAAATTTTGGTGGAGGAACCTTGTATTTATAAAATAATAAATAGTTTTATGACTAAAACAGTCGTCTTAAAGAAAACAATGAAATAGGATAATAATACTGAAACCTATCAAATTGCACACGATCAAAAATTATGTTTTTTAAATGGACCGTAACGGAGAAATTCAACAAAATGTTTATGTATAAGAATTAATATACTGATTTGCCGTGTACAATTTTTTATTTAAAATTTTGGTGGAGGAACCTTGTATTTTTAAACTAATAAATAGTTTTATGACTAAAATATTCATCTTAAAGAAAACATTGAAATAGGATAATAATACTGAAACCTATCAAATTACACACGATCAAAAATTATGTTTTTTAAATGGACCATTACGGAGAAATTCAACAAAAGGTTTGATTTTATTTTAAATTATGGTGAAGGAACCTTGTATTTTTAAACTAATAAATAGTTTTATGACTAAAATGGTCATCTTAAAAAAAATTAAAATAGAATAATAAGATTGAAACCTATTAAATTACACACGATCTAAAATTATTTTTCTAAAATCGACCGTAACGAAGAAATAAAAAAAAAGTTTATGGATAACAATTAGTATACCTATTTTTCATGTCCAATCTGTTTTTTATTTTAAATTATGGTGGAGGAACCTTGTTATTTAAAACTAATAAATAGTTTTATGGCTAAAACAGTCATTTTAAAGAAAACATTGAAATAGAATAGTGTACATTAGTAAGAATTTATTGTACAGTGAAAGATAAATTCAGTGATACTCTATTATACCTGAATATTTAATAATAATAGCGAACTACAACGTTTTACACATAAGTAGTACAACAGTTAAGCCTTATAGCAATCTGTGTGGCACTGAGAGACACCCTCTTATATCTTCACCCTCCTTCCCTAGTTGCTCGTGGGACCTAATTAAAGCAAAAAAGGTTTAAAAAAAAATAGTGGGAATACACCGCCCCCAAATCGAATAGAACGCTATTCTAAGCGATCAAACTCGCTTAACCTCTCACGTGGGACAACCTCACAAGAGACATTGGAAAACAAAAAAAATGGGTAAGGAATAACGAAATGGCGGGTATTAACATCGCTCATTTCCTTGACATTCACAGCAATTAGGGATCGTTCTGATCCAGAAACCGTATGCTTATGGAAACCAGGTAAGAAGACTTGAATATATAGACCAGAACATGTAAGTATTATGGTTAGCAAAATATTAAATATTCTTGTCTTTCAGAATTCATGACGCGGGATCTAGTCCCAATTCGAGCACACCTCGAAATTGGGGAGATGTGGCAAAACATAGTAATAGCTTCTAGTTACTTCGCAGAGGATGGGCCTGTACCACCCCCGGAAGTATCGAGGTTAGGTCAGTACTGTCAGAGAAGAAAACTGTTATTACTTTTTGTATGCGATGCCAACACGCATAGTAACCATATGGTGAAGCAACGACACCAATCAAAAAGGTGAGCAATTTCTAGAATATATTTGTAATAAGAACCTTATTTGCAAAATATTGGGAATACTCCAATATTTGTAACAAGGGCAAGAAGTGAGGTATTAGATATCACATTAAGTACACAAAAAATCAAGTGTAAATGCCCTACTTCATCGGGCATAGGAGTAATTACTATCACATATAATCTGGATATTCCGGAGTAGTTTGGAACTAATATATATACTAGAATCATGGAGAAGGGCCTGAGTCACCTTCATTCCATAAAGTAGGAAAAAAAAGATACCACACATTCTAAATCCTATCAACCACTCAGCCTCACATCCTTTGTTTTAAAAATGATGGAGAAGGCTGTTGATAATTACATCAGAACAAAAATCCTGGAGTGGGTGCCATTCCTCTATAGAAGCATACTAAATAAAAAAGGTCGATCTATCTAACTTGAAGCTACTCCAAATCCTGTACTTTCATGAGAAGATAGGATTTGAAGGGTACTCATAGGCATCTCAATGTATAAGGGACAGAAAGGGGCACAATAGATATTTTAGGTCTTAGTACATTAATAACCCATATCCAACATAACATAACATTTGAATGAAGGTTTGATTTAAAGCACATTTATACTGAAGGTCTAGACTTATTGTAGTGGTCTCGGTTTTTACCTCATCAGCATCAGGACATAGTTTTTTTTTGGGCACAAATTAAATGATCATTATTTAAATTTTATGGCAAGTACATTTTTCCAGTATTTTATTTCAGTTGGTCAGTATGATAATAGATGGTCGGGGAAAATAATAAATGGCCAGTATAATATTAAATGGTCGATGAAAATAATAAATGATCAGTATAATAATACGCGTTTTATTTGTACATCGGTCTCCTTTTGACAGAGTAGGTGAGCTGTGTCCAGGCCGTTGGTGTTTATGCCGGTCGGCGTAGCCAGGTATGGATTGAAATTTTTTACGAGAAGTCTTTGCTTCGTCTTTTTGTTGTCACGGCATTAATATTATTTGTTCATGTATGTGAAATTTGCTTCTATGGTTTATAAAATACTACTGCTAGTAAATGAAAACAAACAAGACGCATTCACACAAACCCACCCACCACCTCAATTACAAATCATCAGTGTTGTCCCTGATACGCGAGTGTATTTTGGGGCAATTGATTTTTGAAATATATCCTGACAGGCAGACTTAATTGTTTTAAACAAAAAACAAAATCTTCAGTTTCTTCTTTGCTGCAAACCGGTAGCCCAAAATCATGAAACACTCGATCTAAAAACATAATACTACTTATTTACTGCACATTTTTAAAATTATTACTGACTGCTGCATACTGGCCATTTATTAATTCTTACTGACCATTTGTAGAATTATTACCGGCTAATTCATACTGACATTTCATTAATTTTTACTGACCATTATAATCACAAAAGTGGACATAGAAATACAGGCCAAATAGTAATTTTACTGCTACAAAATTTAATGTTTACTCATCATATTTTATAAAAGTACTGAGTTTTTACAATATTTTACTGACTGTTTGTAATATTATACTGTACATAATGAATTAAATACTGTTCAGTTAATTACAACCCGTTTTTTTTTTTCTACAAAGTCTAATAGAGGAATATCATGCAGTTCCTCATTACTCAAGTGAACATACTTGCCTTTGTTCTTATTAGTCAGACCATTCTTTGCATTACGTAAGCTATTTAAAAATGTTTAATTTTAATTTTTCCTTCATTTTTCAGATGTTTTTTATAAGCAACCCAAAACGAAAGACAGCAGTACCCAGACGACACCCGATTCATTGGACAAAGCTTTTTCGCATTCGCCAGTAGCAATGAACGCCAAGATCAACAACAACCACAATATTGGAAATGGACCAGCAACGTTGGCTCAAGAATCGAAAAAATTTGTAGAATTGACGTCATAGCAATCGAGCATTCCTAGTTCCGTCACTGCTTCGTCCGATAGCAGACCTTCCAGTTTGAAACGAAAAGCTGTGCAAGTTTAAAATTATAGACTGAGAAATGTATTTTATTAGAGAATTAAGGATTTGACCGATAGTATAGCTAACTCTTGACGAGTACATAATAGTTAAAAGTATGTTTCATGAAACTAATTTAAATGATTTTAAAACCAAACTTTTATTTGTTTTCTTTGGCAACTGATGACATAATAAACTTTTCGTAACCATATATAACTATTTACATTTACAAAAATGTTTTTATATGTCGAAACTAAAACAAATGATCGAATTAAAAGTAGCTATACTATTGGTTTAACTTGTTGTGAATGTTGTATATATTATACATAAAAGAATTAGTTTTAGATTTGCTCATAAGATAACAAAAACTCTCTTATTTAAAAACTTTCATATAACACGAATGTGTTATGATTCGAAGCAACTGCATATATTTATTTATTGTAAAAAGACTGATTTCAAGTTTTTAATTGTATATAGTTCTAAATCGAAATATTTATCTTTTTATTTATACTAATGTTCGTCCAATGGTCGATATTCGACCATAATCATTACTAAAAATTTGAGAGAAGCGTAATATATGAAATTAATGTTTCAAATTTTTTTTACTCTTATATTCGTTCATTGTATATCTGAGACCATAAACTTTTATATGTACTTAGTATACAACATAGTTCAGTATCATTATATGTTATTATCTCATTTTACATTTGATATTATTAGATTTAAAATATATTTTATTTTATTTGACATTGTACTGATAAATTACATTTTCTCTTTAGTTTTTGGCATTTCTTCTTCCTTCCGTGTCCATTCATTTTAAATTGCTCCAAGAAATTCTATAAAGGGAACAGCTAAAGTAAAAATAACAGAAAAGAAAACTATTTTGTCTTTGCCTATTTTGTGTAGATTAATTATGTATGTATAAAGAATACTTTATAAAGCATACGGAATATTTTGTCTTTTCCAGTGTACTTTTCAAGTTAATTCTCTTTTTTTAGTAAAATGAAACTTCACTTTCATATATCTTAGAAAATATCCATGTCGACCCAAAATGTTAAAAACAACATGATCGCTAACCAAAGAATCGTCTATTGAAATTCTCGAAATCATTTTATCGTTTGTTCTAGAACATTTTTTCTTAATAATGTTGTGGAAGTTTCAATTCTTTAACCAACTTTTCTTAATAATATCTACCATATTCTTCCTCTAACTTCCCCTAATTCTACTATTTCTTTTATCCAAATACGTCTAGGTCTTCCTTTTATGACGATTTACAGTTGACAACGATTCTAATACCATTTACATAATTGTTAGACATCCTAATAGCTCTTAATTTCAGTCTCAGTTCCTTTTCCATTTGATTATTTCAAATGAAGTAAAACAATGTATTTACAAAGAAAAAATGATGGCTAAATCCAATGATAATAGCTGAAGTAATAAAAGTTTTAAATTTGATTTTTAGAACACAAAAAATAAAAACTGTATTATTTTTACTTTTATGACAATAATTTTTGTTTATTAAAGTTTTAATACCCCGAAACGTATCTGATAGATTAAATTTGAATTATTAGTAGGTGTATAAACGTTTCGTAACTTTTTTTAGTCTTAAGTTATTCAGAAATATGTACTATTATCTTAAAATAATAATATTCAACTTATTATTTAAAGAAATTTAAATAAAATTCAAAACCATGTTTTATTTTTACAATAATTTAATAATTGGATGCTTCTAGGTAATATTTTTTTAATGTATTCGATTTTTGTCTGAATATTTGTTGTTTATTAAGAAAAATTAAAAAGATACGAAAAATTTCTGAGTAACTGAGTCTTCTAAAGAAAGTATAATTATTATTAACTTATTTTTAAAAAAGATATAAATACAGGGTAAGTTTACTATAAAAATGTATGTTCAAAAAATGTATTCTTTCCATAAGATATTGTACAAAATAGGTATTTCTACAAAAATAACTAATAAAGCATATTATTATATATAATTAAATAGTTTATATAAAATGAATTTTGGTTGATTTCTAATCAACATATAAATAATTATATCAATTACTTACCAAACAAAAATTATTGCAATAGATACACTATAAAGGAAAATTACATTTTCAACGTTTACAAACATTCTAGATTATTGTAATTGTCTTTAATACATTATTAGGTGTTTTCAAAAGAAATTTTAAATAACGTCAAAGAAAAAAGATAAATTTAAAGCATCTATTAAAGAATTGATGCATTTTTTTGAATATTTGTTTAGCAAAATGTTACAAATCAAATATTTTATTTTTAATTGCTCTATATTATGTTATAATTGTAAAAAAAATGTATTTCCATGATTGATCTATTTCAATATTTTATGTTTCAACTAAGAATTTTATTTATAAATGAAAGTAGAATTTTAAAACTTTTTATATTGAGTTTAAGTTTCATTCCCTAATCCTAATTAACTTGTGATACAAGAAATTACAGACACAACAAAATTGGTTAAATTATTTTACCCACAACTTCTCTCGATATAGAAATTGTAATTTTAACAATTTAAAATTATGACCTCCAAACCAAAATCCCTTTTTTCAACTTCTCTTCATCGATCTTTCTCTTGATATACCACCCGAACTCTCACGTTTACTTTTATTGAACGATAATTATTAGCTGCTTTTAAAATGGTTCAATTACACAAACCAAAGGTACACTTTTTATTATTTCCATTCAAGGGGGACCTTTTTTAATTTAATAAGATTTCTTTTAACGCCATATTGAATATTTAAAAACTTGGGATCTGTTATCTATGATTTCCAAAATACTCAGATATCAATTTTAGTCAGAAAGGAAGTTTTTCTCTGAAGCCGTTGTTGAGCTATCACACCAACAGACAGACGACGAAATGGGCAAACATGTTTTTCGTAATCTAGGAGCTCTGAAACGTGAAAATTTGAAATAATTCTAAAGAGTGACTTTTTCACGATTACAATACTTCCTTCTTATCAAAAAATAACAGCCACACATTGATTATCAACTATATTGATTCCGCAAATTAAAACTATTAAAAGAGTTAATGTAGGAGTCAAAAGTGGAAGAAACAGTTAATTATTCAATGTAAAATGTTTTAAATATCCAATAATATTTTATAGTGCTGTATTTTACGCATATATCTGATAACTCCAATCTACATATTGAGCCCAATGTAGAGAGTTTCAACGAAAGTGGTTTCTAATCAACCAAAAAAATTGTTATTGTATAAGTTTCACGGGTTGTGCGGCAGGCATTTTCAAAATGACAAATGTTTATGAAACGTAAATTTTGTTCGTCTCTTGAGAATTAGCTTTGTTAAAGTTGTTTAAAATGTAAAACGGATTTAAAAAATAAAAAATCAACACAATTATTCCTAATTACAATTTTTCACATTGATACAGCGTCAATTAAGAACAATCCAGCAATAAATTGCTCATATAAATATGTTTTACATATTAGCTCACATATCATTTAAAATATAGGGGGTTCAATCCATAGCTTAATACAATCTTGCTTGCAACACGTTAATATACCTATATTTATATTTTTACTATAATTCAATTATTTTTTGAGTAAGCTCTTTGTTATAATTTATGTACTTATTATTTTCCAAGCTTAACAAAACTATTTCAAATTAAGTTTTCCCTGAAAAGATACATTTTAGCGACATGCAACTAGTGTATACCTTTATTTAAAGAAAATTGAATGCTTTTTCAAAATAACTATTCTTTTTTAAAAATTGGCACACCAGTTTAGAAAATCCTGTACATGTATTGTAACAAACAAGTTAGTATTCATTTGTATTAAAAAAAAACTTCCTCTTGCATTATTTGGGTATAATGACTAAAAAAATAATTGAATTATCGTAAAAATATTGAATAAAAATATATTTTCTCCACCCTGTAACTACTTAAGCAAGCAAAATTGTACTAAAAATAAACTGAACACCCTGTATATGCTGGTGCGTAATGTTTATCTATAAATATTTCGTTGATTCTCATGAAGACATTGAACAAATTAATTAAAAATTTTTTCTTCAGTGTTTACATTAGAGTAATAGAGATATAGAGAATCATATATTTTTATCTTTGTTATAGGCTGGGTACTACTCAATTTAACTTGTTGGTAACTCGTTGATCTTTCTTTATTAACTTTAACTTCTAAAAAAATATTTACCAAAAAAACTATTGACTTGGCGGAATTTCATTGTTGGGACCAATTTTATTTACAAGATATTTTTAGCCAATTTTTCAAATACAGATTCTTCGATAAACTTAGCTACATTCGAGACCGACGTCATATAGACTAGTCTATTTCGTTCAATTTAAACAAACTGTCAAATAAGCTTATTAAAACTATATTATTCAACAAAAAACTAAAAAATTTAGTATTTCAAGAAAATTAATTCCCTTGTTGCTTTCCTCAAAAAAGTTTGAAAAGCTGTGCTTTTGTTTATTACCCCACATCTTTTATAGGTCCAATATATTCACACCTCAACCTCAGCTATTGCTACATCTTTTATAGGTCCAATAAATTCATACCTCTGATCAAGTTTAGACCATTTTTGGAAACTATTTTAGTGATTTCAATAGCGAAATGTGATATTCTAGAATACATTTCATTCTTAAATAAATGATAATTTTGCTGTGATCTATTATATGCAGTATTGTAACACGCATTTTAGTTTTATAATACAGTCCCTGTACAATCTACAGAAAAAGTTGGAGAGACATCCAAAGTTTGTTTGGAAACATATTTTACCAAAGTATGTGGCATTTTAAAAAGGAATCAAAATTATCACCTAAGCTCATAACTTGTTCCCTCTTTACATATCAGTGTTGAATATACGAGTACCTATACCATTTTGTAGAGATCTTCAAGGGAAATTCAACGTCGCAAAAGTCATCTTACTATTTCGAACGGTTGCC